AGAAGTTGGGGGTAATAGTAAACAAATGTTTAAAACACAAAATGTAAAAAAAAAAAAAAAAAAATTAAGGCCAAAAAATCATATATATTTTTTTAAATGGAGAGCACATTTCCAAGTGTCAGTGACATAGGTGGCATGCTTTATTCATATCAACAAGTGCTTCTGTTATGATCATCATACAGTCATGCAGTTGTTCTTTGCATTGTATTAACCTTCTTCAAGATGTCTGGAGAGAGAGGCCATCAAGTAGTATACCCAAGAGAGCACCGAAAGGAATTACTTTGGACGTGAAACTTGATGTTTTGATGAGGTTTGATGCCGGAGAGAAATTTAGCTCTATTTCTAAAACTTTAAAGCTTGCAACCTCTACAGTGTGAACAATACTTGATAATAAAGAAACATGAAGTGCTGAAGTAGCTACACCTCTAAGTGCTCGTACATTGTATTGTTACGTCTCTGTTCGTTTGTTAATTCGCTGTCGTAACACTGCTCCTTCCTTAGTATTGTTCATCCCGAACAATAGTCACTTATATTAAACCAACAGATAATTAACAATAACTTAATTAAATGTACAGAATTCACAAACACTACAAACACAAAAATTAAAATTAAACAAAGTCTCTTAATTTTCTGGGACGTATCTTCTTCCGTACTGGTCTCCATCTCGTTGGCTTCTGCTTCACGTGGGGTTCATCTGCTCCATCATGAAATGTCCTATTATCGGTAATAGTCACATCAGTGGTAGTAACTTCATCAAGGGCTTCACTATTTCCCTTCTCAAAATTGAGTAGAGTTTCTTCTTCGACAGTGGCTTTTCCTGGTGACACGTCTTCAGCAGCGTCATTTGTTCCGTTGTTCACTTCATCCCAACTGAAATGTCCTGGACCGTGATAATGCCAAAGCCTGTTGGCATGCACCACCTTTGGCTTACCTTGCCGACCACATTTTATTTGGAAAGTCACATCTGAGAGATGATCCACTATGTCATATGGGCCTTCCTATGGAGAAGACAACTTAGGAGACTTCCCTTTGGTCTTTCTGGGATTATACAACCATACCTTGTCTCCTGGTACAAAGCTGACTTCAGTAGACTTCTTATCATAACATAGCTTCATCGAATCAGCAGACATTTTCAAGTTTGAACGCACTTGATGGTGAATATTATCCATCCTTTCCGATAACACTTTCACGAATTTTGACACATTTTCAGGCAACTCTTCATAAGGTGGGCATCCTGTTAACAGATTCACTGGCAACCGAAGTTCTCGACCAAACATCAACTTTGCTGGAGTGTATCCAGTGGTTTCATGCTCTGCTGTCCTATAGGACATCAACAGTGGAGGTAGTAAGACATCCCAGTCATCTTGGCAGCTATTACAAAACTTTGTCAATTCCTGTCCCAGTGTCCAGTTGTAATTTTCTAACATCCCATCAGACTGTGGGTGAAGTGGCATTGTCCTGGTCTTTCGTATGCCAAACAAATTGCAGCATTCATGGGACACAGCTGATTCAAAGTTACGGCCTTGATATGAATGCAGTTCATATGGCATACCAAATCTGAAGAAGAAATTACTAATAGCCGAAGCTACAGTTGTAGCTACCTGATTTGGTATTGCATATGCCTCAGGACACCTAGTGAAATAATCCATCACCACACAAATGTACTTGTTTCCTGCACGAGTTTGGGGCAAAGGACCAGCAATGTCAATGGCTACTCTTTCCATTGGTGCACCAACTTGATATAACTTCATTGGAGCACGTCTCTTATGCTTGG